GAAAGTATTTTATACACATACAAGTATTCTTAAAATAAGGAAGAAATATTCTTGACCTTTTGCTTTTGTTTCTGTCTTTTGCTTCTGTCGCTGGTCCTGTGCTCATAGCTGTTGTTTGTAACTCCCTTCTACTTCCACTACACTCCTGTGATCCCCTTTACCTTTTGAAGGCACCTCGGTTGGTTGTGGTTCACAGTGGGTGGGGTGACCCAGACCTTCATTCCCGAAGGATCTGGACCATTAGTAGTCCTGCCTGGATTGGGTTGTCACGGTTTTCCATTGACGTCGGTTAATCACAGGGCGTGGTGATACTAGGAGGCACCCTGAGGGATCTCGTGTTCTCCAGACATGCTCTTCTCTACCTCCCTGTGGGGCCGTGGTCCATTTTCCCTGCTGGTCAGGATCCGTCACGCCAGCTAGCACAGTGACTCCTTTCTTTACCTGTTGATTAGGAAGCATGACGAGCTCCAAGTGGCTGGAGGCAGTCTTAGTCCCCAGTTCAATGGAATCATTGTTGTGTGCATCTAACATGCTACATACTAATACTTCACTAATCATCTTGTTTATTCTGTTTGCCCCCAGCAGGTAAGCTCAGTGAGAGGAGGATTTGGGTCTGTTCTTCCCTAACTAAATCCCCAGCATCTAGAACAGTGCCTGGTGCATGGCAGGGACTCAGTAAGCATTGCTGAGCGGGTTGGGGCCTTTGCTGTGATTTCTCTGTGCTTTGGGGTGGGTGAGGGGTGCTCATCATCCACCTCAGAACCCCAGCCTGAGAGCCAGGCCTGTCGCAAGGAGCCCTGGGTTGCAGCATGTTCTCTGACAGAGGGGGTCCTGCTGCTTCTCCTCACACTGATGGTGCTGGGCCAGCAAGTAAGCCCAAGGCCTCGGTGTTCACCATCCCAGCCCATTCAGGACTGTTTACTAGACTAATTTGGAACAATAAACCCGTCCCCACCCTCCTGGCGCCTGCCTCACTCCATCCTAGGCCTGTGTTTGAAGATGTGTTTAAATTCCGGGCCTACACTCAGCAGACACCGCGGGCCAGCTCCTGGCAGGCCAGCCCTGGCGAGGGGGGCGGCCCTGGGATGCTCGGGTCCTCCCCAGTGGCTGGGCCTCCACACACGGTCAACCAGGGGGAGCAAGGCGACTCTAGCCTCCACCCAGTGTTTGTTATTCCATGTCAAAGCTTTATCATAATCATTATCCTAGAGTGGGCCACAGCAGCTTTGGCGAGGAGGGTTTGTTATTCTAAAGTGGCTGGGGGCACAAAGCATGGAGGCTCGAGAGGCTGTGAGCAGCGCCAGGCTTGGGAACTCAGGGTGAATGGGAGGGAGGCAGAAATCAGGGCAAGGCTCTTCCGTCCCTGTGCACAGGGCCTCAGAGGCCCCACTTACCACCCTCTACTGTCATGGTCAGTTGGGATATCTGCCTCTGAAATGAGCTCCATAGAGGTGGAGACCAAGCCCAGTTAATCCACCAACCCCAGATCCCTGCAGAGAATCCACAGAACGTAAATGTTTGTTGAATGAATGAATAAGTGGAGCTTCCCTGTATCTGTTGGAAGTACCAAGAATGCTCTTGAAGAAGCACATATTATTTTGAAGTTCCAGTTACGGGACCCTGGTCTGGAGCCAGACATCATGTCAAAGTCCAGCTCTGCCCTTTACAAGCCATGTGGCCTTGGGCCCCGTCTGCTTCTTTGGTTTCCCATCTATGAATCAGGACACCCTCTCTGCTGGCTGTCTCCTAGGGAGAGCAGAGCGAAGCCCCAGTGGGCGGGCAGTGGGCAGTTAGGAGGATGGGTTCCAGGGCTGGCCTGCCCAAGCCAAGTGCACATCCCATCCCTCTCCAGCTCTGTCACCTTGGGTGAGTTACTGTCTCTTTGCTGTCGGGTTGGGGTTTCTTAATCTATTAGTTGGAGCTAATATCAGACTTCCTTCAGAGTTGCTGTGAAGATGAAATAAATTAATATGACCTTAGAAGATGCCTGACACAGAGTAAGTGCTCAAGAAACATGGCGACCATAGTGATGAACAGATGAGGACCTCTTTATGAGTTGCAAAAGATGGCACCAGGTGGCCGCGGATTGAATTTCTGGGTGCTCGCCAGAAGGAGGCGGGAGGTATGGGGAAAGAGCATGTGACTCAGTCACAGTCAGGTCACAGGCAGTCAGCAGTCCACCTTCCAAAACAGTTCCTGAAAATCTGCTCTCCAGCAGTGACCGGTGAACAAAGAGGTCGGCTTCCCGCCGTTACCAAGCTCTCGGTCTACACAGGCAGGGAATGGGGAATCACCGGAGACGGACACTTCATGGGATAAGTGCCAAGACCGGGACGGGGGTCGGGGGGGTGGGACAGGTGTCTGTGGGAGGCACCAAACCTGGCCTGAGGGTCATGGGAGTCCAGAATGATAGGCGTGGGTTTCTGTCCAAACCCCACCACACTGCATGTGCCACACTGGGAATGATCTGCTCTCAGTTTTCTGTATGCAACATGCTAATAAAAAATACCCTTTGGCTATTTCTGGCTGTTTCGAGAGGCTCCAAAAGGAAGACAGGTGTGGTAAAGTGTGTGGGATGAACCTGGGCTGTGCCAGTGAACATCCAGAAATCCAGCCCCAACCTGGGGCACCGCAAAGCGTCCTAGGCTGGGCGTCAGGCTTGGCTTTGAGTCTGCTCTGCCCCCAGCTTTCCTGTGTAGGCTTGGGTGAGCTCTCTCTTGCCTACTTTGGGCCCCTGTCTCCTTTCCTCTTCTATATGATGAGGGCACAGGATGAGATCAGTGGTTCTCAAACTGGGCTCCAGGAGACCCATAGGTCTCCACAGAGAAGCCATGGGAGCCTCTGCTGCATGAGGGCATTGAGCCTCTAGGACTTCAGGCTCTAGCCGGTCTCCTCACATCAATCGGGGAAAGTTCCACTTTTATCTACTCCACATACTGAGTTCCAACTAAAGTTCCTTTGGAAAACAATAACAATAAAAAAGGATTCTATGGCCAAAAAAGGTTTAAAAAACCCCTGGACCAGATGACCTACAGGGGCCCTTCCAGCTCCATTCTGGGAAGGTTCAAGCCTGAGTATTTTCTTCCAAGTTTTATTTAGCAAGCATTCCTCCAGCTGTCACTACACACAGGACTGTTCTTAGCACCCTGCAGATTGTAATGTGCTTAACTCACCGGAACACCTCCTCGCTCCACGAAAGCCACAGGACTACGGAAGTGACTCCATGGGTCTAGGGAGGCCCAGGGGAGCCATTTCCCCTCCAGCCAGGTCTTCTGGACACCTGAATGGATGACCTCACCCCAGGCCAGGTGGTGCAGCCTCCAAGGAGCAGCAGGTGTATGCCGGGGCGGGCATGGTCAAGGGAAGCCTGCGTACCCCAGACCCCCAGGGAAGTAGAGCACTCCAGCCGGACGTGGATACTTGCATGCGAGGCCTGTTCCGTGTGGAAGGACGTGCCTGTTGGCTTAGTGACGTGCACAGCAACAGGGCCATGGCCTCCTGCGATTCATCCCAGCCACCAGGCTGCCGTTGACACCCTGCACAAGGTGGCCGCGGATTGAATTTCAGGGTGCTCGCCAGAGCCTGGAGAAGGCCCAGAGGTGGGGTCTGACCTCATCCCCAGCCAGCTCATTAGGGGGAACAGCCTGGGCCACTGCACCCCAGCACTATCCAGCTCTCCGCCTGCCAGATACAAAAGTGGGAGGGGACGGGCAGAGGTGATCTCTCAAGCACGCTTGGCCCCGTTGCCCACGTCAGCACGTTGTGTACCTTATTACATGAGCTTTTCTGTTCAGATTGTGTGTTCTGGAATGAGGCGACTGGCGTCGCAGGTGGGAGCTTCTGCCACGTGATGGCATCATGCCCCAAATGCAGACAGAGTGCCAAAGTTCTAGGGTCTAGTCTGAGGGGCTTACTGAGTAGCTTTAAATAGGAGGCGACTGACCCCAGCAGGTGGCACTAGGTGGCACTAAGGCACTAGGCAAAGAGTAGAGCGACATCCTCTCGTTGCCAGCCCCGTGCTGAGAGCTGCAGACACAAAACGAGTAAAACGCAAGTCCTATCTTCGAGAAGCTCAGAGCCTAATGGGAGAGCCAGCTAGCTAACAGCAGACACCATCTCATGTTCGCGCCGGGGTGGGGGACACAGAAGCATGGCAGGTCGCTTGTCCATCACCGTGGGCAGCACCAGCACTGAGCGTCTGCTCAGGTGTCTGGACCCAGTGGCAGGTGGGCCCTCCTAGGCTCAGCTGGCCTTACTCATATCGTCCGGGATCCGGCCGTCTGTTGGCTGGACTGGGATGGCCTCGGTGGGACAACTGAGGCAATTTGGCCCTGCCCATCCTCCAGTGGGCTAGCACGGGCTACTGTCAGGGCCGTGGACATACGAGAGGCAGCGGCAGCCTGCCTTTCAGGCCTCTGTACGTCCTGGTGACTTATATCCAGAGTCACAATATCAGCACGGGAGGGAGCCGAAGAGCTCCACGGCCAAGGGCATGAACACTCAGACAGGTTAAAGTTTGGAGCCACTACTGTGTCGGTCTGCCACGCAAGGAGCTCGTGGGGGCCTCCGGGAGGGGCCTGACTCAGCCCCCAGGTGGTCAGAGACGCTTCCTGGGGAAGACATTTGAGCAGAGCCTGGAAGGCCGAGTCTGGATTTGCAAGTGGAGAGCAGAGACAGGAGGTTGTCACGCGCAGAACACAGCATGTCAGAAGCTCGGAGACAGAAGAGTGCGGGGCAGTTGGTGTTTGGAGTCACGAGGACTGAGCAGGAAGCGAGGTCATCGGCCACAGCAGGGTCCAGGCCACTGCCTTGCAGCCTCTACTGAACAGCTTTTACTCTGAGGGGAGGAGGCACCTGTGAACGTTTTGAGGAAAAAAAAGAGACGGAGGACAATCAGATTTGTGCTTTCAAAAGGTGCCTGTGTGGCAGACAACTATGGGATGGGGGGAGGGAAGGGGGTCTGCAGGGAGGGGGACGGGTTGCACTGGGCCCGGTGGGAGATGCTCGGGACCGAGCTGGTGAGGTGGGAGGCCGGGGACTGTGGCCCAGGGTGGCAAACAGATGATGGGCAAAGAGCTTGTGAGGCCTGAAGAGCGGCGAGCCGGCTGGGGCCGGGCAACAGCAAGGACAGGGGACTTGAGACAGCCTCCGGACCTTCTGCCCAGGAACTGCAGCAGCTTTTCCCCGCACCTGTATTAAAGCACCCAAATCACGGTCAGACTCCTCCCTTTTGTTGGCCAGGGGGGTCTGGGATACACCGTCACATGAAGCTAGCTGGGCAGAATCGAACAAGTCCCTGCCCCGCGTGGGCCTGTTTCTCCATCTAAAATGGGACATTTGAGATCATCTCTCAGGGCCCCCATACCTTGGGCAGGCCATGTGCCATCAGAGTGTGGTCCTCATGGCAGAAGCAATCAGACCTCTAATGTTCATTCCCAGGGAGCCTGTTAAAAATACACATCCTGGGCTCCCCCTCGGAGATGCCAATTCTGGGCATGGGGACTGGACAGCTGATATTTCTGTATGGTGCTCCACATGATCCTGATGCCAGGCCAGTCTGGTTAGGGTGCAGCTGTGTTCCCAGGGCCCCGCATAGCGGCCCAGAGCGCAAAGGAGCTTCAGGAAACGTGCGGAGTGCCAGCATGGGTCGGATTCAGAGAGGCCGGGCTCCTTGGGCCTTTGCCTGCAGTGAGGGTGACTTCTGGAGGAAGTGTCCTTTGGGTGGGGCCTTGACATCTAAGTGGGTTTTCTGTTTGTTTTGTTCGTGTGTTTGTCCTGCTTTGTTTGCCGTGCTCTTGATTACAAAATTAGTCTGTGCTCATTCTAGAACTTTCCTAAGCACAGGAATAAGAAAAATTTAGTCAAAAGACAAACTCATCCATCATTCTAAAACCCAGACACAACTGGGTTCTCATTCTGCCCCTTCCTTAGATAAGATGTTGATAGCCAGAACAGAAGTGGGGACCCATGTGGGCAAAGGGCTGGAGATGAGAACAGGCTGAACGTGTCCGGAGGCCAGTGGAAGAGTTCAGGCTACACCAGCCGGTGCCCGGCCCACACACCTTCTCTGTTTCAGGGCCTGTTGCCCCAAAGTTCAGAGCGAGGAGGGCCGGGCCTGGAGGTGTCAGGCCCCCCCAGCCTGATCTAGAATTACAGCCCTCATTCTTCTCTCTTTCCTCTGTGCAGGTGCTGTTTGCCCTGAACCAGACTCTGCTGCAACATGAGAGCGTGCGGGCAGGGAGCCTGCAGGCGCCCTACACCACGGAGGACCTCATCAAGCACTACAACTGCGGGGATCTCAACGCTGTCATCTTCAACCATGACACGTCCCAGGTGAGGTTCCCCTCCTCCCACCCAGTTCCGAACCCACCTAGCATTTATTAGACACCTACTATGTGCCTGGTGCAGGCAATCTTCTCTCTGCCATGGTAAGCAGGACCGATTGGTATTCCATTTTACAGATGGGGAAACTGAGGCCCAAAGAGGCAAAGAGACTTGTCCAAGCCCACAGCACTTAATGGTCGAGTTCCCCAAGTTATCAAGAGCAGCACTCAAGTCTGGCGTGTGTGGTAGAAGCTTAGCCTTGTAAGAGCAGGGAGGCCTCTGAGAAGTTCAGTTCAGTATCTGGGGAAATTAGAGGCCAGGGGAAATAAGTTCACGGTTAGACCTTGGGCTTGAGTCCAGCTGCGGACATTCTGCCTTGAGTCAAGCCCTAGAGGAAGGACCACCCACAAGCGGGTAGAGAGTGAGGAGCACCCCGAGGAGCTGAGCATGACTCCACCAGGCATCCACATTGCCCTCGGGATAAATTCCAAGATACTCTGTCTAACACTCGAGGCCTTCTGTGTCCTGCCCTCTGCTGACCTTGTCCCAGCCCAGGTGCCCTACCCCGCAGACCTTGTTCTGTTGACCTGTGCCCCACGCCATCTGCCCACTGATGCCACTGTGCCTCCGTTTAGGCTCCTCCTTCCTCCTTTCCTCCTGCTGGGCCATGGTCCATTGTTACTTCCTCTGAGAAGCCCTCCCTGACCCTCTGGATGGTGTTAGATATTCTCCCGGACCCCTCTAGGCCCCCTGTGCCTTCTGTCGACATGATGCTTGGTTAAGCACTCATTCAAGAGCAGTTCCTTGCTCAGGACAGTGCCGTGGCTTCCCATTTTTCTCAGTGTAACAGCCAGAGTCTCTGTAATGACCTGTGTGGGCCCCGGGTCTTCCCCCAACCCCCACCCCATGTCCTCTGCGCGCCCCTCACACTGACCACTCAAGCTCTATGGGCCTCCATGCTATTCCATGGGACCCCTTGGCATGCTTCACCTTTGCCCTTCCCCAAGTATCACCATGACTCACCCCCCATCTTAACTCAGACATCATCATCTCAGTGAGCTGGGCCCCAACTCCCTGATCTAGAATTGCAGCCTGAACCCCGCTCCCACACTCTCAACCTCTTTATTATGCTCCATTTAACCCCCATGGTCTTTATCATCTTCTCACATACTTACATATTTGGATTCATTGATAAGTGGTTATTTATTGTTTGTCCTCCGCACTAGAGCATAAGCTCCCTGAGGACAGGGATTTGCATCTGTTTGATCCAACAGTATATTCTCATTGGCTAGGCCAGTGCCTGGCACAGAGCAGGACTCAGCAAATAGCTGCTGAATGAATGAATGAAGTGGGTTGTAAATACCAGGCCCAGTGCTATGAAAAGGGATATGGGGCGGTGGGGGGCAGGGCAGCCAGAGAGAGCCGCCCTAGTGGGGCGGACGGGAGAGAAGGGGACGTTCCATGAGCAATAGCACCCAAGTGTGATCCTTGCTCCAAGGGAGAGTAGAGGGTGCAGCTGAGGCCTGTGGCAGGAGCAAGAGTTTAGGGCAAGAAGGAAGGATGCCTGCAAGGTGAGAGGTCAGGGAAGAACCTAACTTGGCCACAGGCAGGAGGAAGCGGAATGTTCCAGCAGAGGCAAGAGAGAGCAGGAGGAGGGGTGTGAGTTTGGGCTGGAGGTGTAGCCGGGGACCAGGCTGAGAGGTTCTGTGTGCACCTGCCACCGTCTAGAGCCAGAACTCCCTGAGGCAAGAGCGTGTCGCGCCTCCCTCCGTCCCCAGGCCCAGGGCAGGGCCGCAGAGTGTGTATTGGGGAACGGCTGTCCAGGGAGCGAAGGTGAGGGTGTGCTGTGCTCCGGGCAGTGGAGGCCGTAAAAGGAAGGATCCAGAGACCCTGCAGAGGAGGCTCAGGACTCTGAGAGCCCCGATTCCGATCTGTGAGCTTCTGTGCCAGAGCCCGCCCTGCGTCATTCGCTGGGAGAGAGGCCGGTGAGCTCTGTGGCTGCAGGAACCTGGTCAGCACTCAGGGTAGCCTGGGCACGAAGTAGCTGGGCTGGGGGCAGGGGTGAGCAGGACAGGGCCCTGCTGCGGCCGCGGCTGACAAGGAGCTGCGAGAGGGAAGAAGGGGATGACCTCAGGCAATAGCAAGCTCAGATTTACTTTGAGCCTGTATCCAGAACCACTGATTTGTCTCTGGCAGGTGAACTGCATTGGGGGTCCCCTGGCAGTGCCCGTCCTTGAAGCGGGACAGAGGGTGTAGTTGGAAAGGTGCACCCAGTTAGAATAGCAAACTGGGCGGCACTCCCCTGGACCCCCTGGGTACACAGGCAGAGTCTAGCCCCCAAGGGAGGAATTAGGCAGCTCTGCCCCCAGACACAGAAAAGCCTAGAGTCGGGGTAGCAAGGCTAAATCCAGGGCCGTGCGCTGATGGTGAAAGGGTCCGGGTGACATGGGGCTGCCTCAGTAGCGAGAGGCCTCGAAAGCTGTGGGGAGCTGAGGACACACAGGCTGTAGGGGTACGGTCGCCGCCCGTAGGCAGGGAGAAAGTGGTGTTGGAACTAGGCTTGAGAAAGGAGCTTACCGGGCGGGGCCAAAGGGAGGGGCTGGCTGCCTGGTTGTGGGGGGATGTGGAGGGTCCTGAGGAATGATCTGCAGAGCAGGGGGCAGATCATAGGGGGTGGGGGGTGAAAATGCCTGCTGAGGGGCAGAAGCCCTGGAGTTCAAGCGGGAGAGGGACGTGGTCAGAAAGATGTCTCTGGCCACAGCAGAGGATGATGCAGTGGCCTCTAGAGGCTAGGGTTGACATGTGCAGGGGCCAGGATGGGGGACAGGGGCTAGCTGCACCTCTGTCTTGATCTCTCTTGCCTCCCCACCCCACCATTTCACCTTCAGAAATGGCTCATGCCCCAACCTCCCAAAGCTCCCAAGTCACTTGCACCATCAATGCCCACGATCACAGGGTGACCCAAGGGAAGCGCTGTCTGAGCCCTCAGCCTGTGTTAGGTGGACAGCAGCCATATACTTATCATCTGTCCCCTGACACTTTGGAGAGTGAAAGGTCAAATATAATTAAGGGTCAGAAAAATTAACAGGCATGGGGCAGTCTACCTTAGCCATGAAACTGGACCATCCTGGACAAAGCAGGACACATGGTTATCTGTGAGGTGCCCCCTCCACACTCCCACATCCCTCTCAAAGCATGGACCCCACAGTGACTCCCTCACTGGGCTGTGAGCCTCATCCAGGGCAGCAGACCCAGTCTGAGGGTGCTCTGTGACCCCTAGCCTGACACGGCTATGCTCACAGAAGTTTGTGGAAGTTGTCTGTTGGACGGATGGGCTGAAGAGAAGGGATGAGGCCACTGAGGTCAGTGACGTCAGTAGACCCTAGCACTTGACCACCAGATCTGACCCTGTCCTGGTTGTGGGCCAGGGGAGCCTACACTGAAGTCACTCCCCACGGCCCCACCCCAGCCCTGCCTGGCCCATCTACTTCATCGTCCCACCTCGGACTCATGGCTCTAGGACCCCAGGGACCTGACATGTCCTCTTTCAAATTCTATGGTGCATCCTGCACTTAAACTTGTTGTGGGAGATTTAAGGCTCCTGACAAGTCTAATGACATCATTAATTTGTTTCCATCCCAGCCTGGGCCCAAACCCAAGTCCCATCCTTGGCATGGAACCAGGGCCCATCAGCGTGAAACATGCAGAGAATGTCAGCCAGCTGCCGGGCAGTCCCAGAAACCCTGGTGGCTAGCCGAACTCCTTCGTGGCTTTGACATTGAACTCTCTGGTTTTTGTCCTTGTTAAACTTTTTTAGCTCCCTAAGGAATGAATCAAGATTCATCTTTCCACAAATGCACATTCATGGTGAGGAAGAGCCTCTGCCAGGACCCTTGGCAGAAGGAAAGGAAAACAGGATGCTTCCTTCATGGCTCTCTGGTGATTCTGAGGGCTTCTATTTGTCATCTCTGTCTCTACCCTCTGCTCAAGGCCACCCTTCACTGTAGCCTCTGCCATTGTAGGGGAAAATGATGAAGCCAGCTCCAGCCCCCAGGCTAGTTGTACAAAGCTGACATTTAGTCAAGACTTTTTTTGTGCTCTGCACTGTGCTAATAAGCACTTTCCAAAACTGATCTTATTTAATTCCTACAACAATATATATTACTCCCATGTTACCAATTTGGACACAGAGTCTCAGACAGTACAAATAACTTGCCAGTTATAGAGAGGCAACCCAACTGGTAAGTGGCAAAAGGAGGATTCCATCCCAAGTTATCCTGGCTGTCTGAAGCCAGGACCTGCCTTCATAACCACCTGTTGCCTCTCAGCTCATTCTTCATGCATTCATTCACTGATGGAACAAATGTTTATTTCTTGGTACAACATCATCCCACATTCTCTCCCATACCTGAGAAACAGAGAGGGCCATGCCTCCAGAAATAACCCTTTTGAGCCACAACTCCTCCCCCATTCAGAAGACTTTCCTGGAGCTGTATCATGTCCAAATGTGTCCTGCTTTGTCAGGGCTGCCAATCATCCCTTCCATCATTGGCGGAAGGGGTAGGAGCTCCATTCCTTTGTTTATCCATTTACCAAACACCGACTCTGGTTGGGCACCAATCTCTGATTGGGTACTGGCAGGGCTGCTGCATACAGCTGTGCAGGTTGTGCACTGAATAAGTTAACGGTTTTATCAGTCATAGCATTACCTTGTCATCCCAGAACAGTGAATCAGAGAAGCCCCTCCCCTCCCACTCTTGGGAGCACCCTGGTGCTTGGCCGGCAGATATCAGAGACAGATGTCCTGGCCCTATCCAAATCCTTGAAGGCTCAGCCTCTGCTGACGTCTCCATTTTCCTCAGAAAGAGTGTTGACAACTTGTCAGTGGCTCTAAAAGCCATGTGGCTGGGCCGTATGACCCTTGGGGGCTAAGCCCTGCAGGACTTTAATCTCCTCATGCCAACTCTCCACCTAGCTAGCCCATCAGTCAGTGAGGCCTCGTGTTCTGTGCGTTAGCCTGAGTTGATGAAGAGAGAAGTGGAAGAGGAGACTCCAGATGGAAGACATCCTGTGCACAAGAGCTTGGAAGGTGGAATGACAGTGAGCGGTTATGGGGAAATAGGGAGGATCTCCGCCATGGCTCGTGGCTTTTTCTCAGGCCCCGCCCACCCTTGGAGGCCACGGTGCTAGGACACCTGGACCTGACATCCAGGCTGAAAAGACAAAACGCTGGGTATGGAGGAACCCAGGAAGAGGCAATGCAGTGAGGGAGGACAGTGCGATTTTATGTTCAAGGTTCCAGAAACCTTTCTGGGCACCTACTGTGTGTCAGGCACTGGGGGCCCAGGAATGACAACGGCTCTGTCCCTGGACTCAAAGAGCTCTCTGCCTAGTTCAATAACATGTCAGTGACGCTTGCCCCCAGCCACAGAACTGGGTGTGAACAGTGGGCCCAGAGCTGAGAAATGTGGAAAGTTCCAAGCCAGGTTGTGGAATGAACCATCATTATGGGAGGCAGCTGTGGTCCTGCAGTTGATGTTTTTAAGAAGGGCTGGAGGGGTTTGGTTCTGCCCTGGCAAGTAGTGAAGCTGGGAATGGAGAGATGGTGGTGGCCAGCCAGGGCTCAGGTCTTGGGGAAACTGGAGGCTGTGACCTCTCCTGTCTTCTCTGTAGGGTGGGCTGGGCTATTAACGCAGCTCATGACAGCACCCACCATCTCACCTAATCCCCATCTTACACATGAGGAAACGAGCTGAGAAAAGTTAAGTAAGTTGGCCAAAGTCACACAGCATCAGAACGAGGCCTGAATCCAGGTCAGCCTGATCCTGTACTCTGTGGTCTTCCTGCTACACCAGGCAGCTCAGCTGACCCTCCACACCCGCCTGCTGACCCGAATTCCTTGCACGCCGGGCTGGGTGCTGAAGGGAGGACAGTAAAGGAGCCGAGAGCCGTCTTGCCTCCCAGGCCCTCTGCGTTCTGGAAGCAGAGGGTCGACAAGGCAGAGACACAGCAGCCATACCTCCTTGTGTTGCACCCCACCAGCTGTGAGGCTTTGCACACGTCTCTGGATCTTTCCACTCTTGCTTTCTTCATTTGTAAAACTGGGATAACCACACTCCTCTCAAGGCATTTTTGGAATTGATGAAAAACCCAGACAAAAGGTATAGCCCACTCTATGGGCCATTTAAGAAAGGTAAGTGGCCCGCTCTGCTGGGCTTGGTGTCTTTGCCCTGGGAGCACTGAGGGCACCTCTCTCTGGCCTTTGCAGCTGCCCAGCTTCATCAACACCACGCTCCCGCCGCATGAGCAGGTGACAGCGCAGGAGATCGACAGCTACTTCCGCCACGAGCTCATCTACAAGAGGAATGAGCGGATGGGGAAGAGGGTCATGGCGCTTCTGCAGGAGAATGAAGACAAGATCTGCTTCTTTGCCTTCGGAGCAGGTTGGGCCGGATGGGGAAGGGAGTATTTGCAGAATCTTTAAGGGCTGGGAGATTTGTTAGGCCCTCTCCTGACCTCTCCTTCCTAAAGGAAAACGTGGAGGTCCAGAATGGAGCAGGAGAAGCCATGCCCCACACTTCTCTTGTTTCTAGCCAGGGGTTCTTCCCTAATAGGCCCCATGGGCAAAAGGGGTGACCCTGCCAGGGCCAGGACAGCTTCTGGGGCCCCTTCATGCCCCAGGAGGCCATGCTGAGCGCCCAGAACAGAAGCTGGCTCCCATGGCCAGCCCAGCCTTGAGCCCACCCAGCAGAGCCAGGGCCAAGCCTAGGAGCGCCACGGGGCCTGGTGGGGAGAGGCGGGCTCTGGCACCCCACGGCCCGGTCCAGCTCCCTCTGGGCTATGTGACCTTGGCACAGTCCCATCAAGGGCGCAGACCCCTCTTCTATGAATGGACAGTGATAGCAATGACTAGCTGATGAATTGAAAATCTCTATCATGTGAAAGAGTTATAAAGATTAGCGGTAACACTTCAGTAACCTAATAGCAGGAACTCAGAATGGCAGCTAGCTTCACTGTCATCCCAAGCATCAGGACGGTTAATACACACTTTGTCATCCCACCGTGGGCCATAAGCTTGATGTTTCTCCTGGGGGCTCTGGCGTCTCTGTGCAAAGGGAAGTCCGGATGTCCAGGTGCAAGGCTTGCTGCCCCCCGCCCCCCCCGGTCTCCTCTTCCCTCTTCTCCCTCACTCCTTCCTTTCCCTGTGGCTGTCTCCTGTGATGATGGGACCAGGGGATGGCATTTGCCTCCTTTATCAGTCAGCTTTGGCTCCAGAGCCACAGGATAGAAATGTATGTCTTACTCATGTGGGCTCAGTCCACCCCCTGCTGCGTGACAATGAAGGAAGAGGGACCACCGTGGGGGGGCAGGCGAGAGCACTCACGGCTACTGCCTCTCCGCCCTCCTTCCGCGGCCCCTGGCCTGCGCACCGCCTGACCGCTCAGGTCCCTGCAGCCCGGGCCGGTCCTGATTCTGCAGTGGGGTGTGTCTGCTGGGGGAGGCCTGCCTCCCCCGCCCTGCCATTCAACCCCATACACGTCAAGGGGAGGGCCAGGGTCCTCCGACTATGCCTGTCTTCCCTCCTCTGTGGCCCTCAGCATGGGGGCGGCTCATGGGACAGCGTCGGCGAGCCACCCCTGCAGCCGGACAGAACGAATCCCGGCTAGCAATGGAGCACGACCACGGCCTGTTCCCCTCTGACAGCCTGAGTTTACGCATCTGAACAGAAGGATTCAGAAAGCACGGGGGCCGCTGGTGACTCCAGGAGCTATTCGAACAGTTTTCAGAGAAGAGAGGGATTCCTGTTGGGGTATCTGGAGAAGCCAGCAGGAGCAGGACCTTGACCAACCACGTGGAGAGGGCCAGGCTACCCTCCAGGTGCAGGATACCTACTGGGGACCTGGCATGAGTCAGGACAGCTTTGGGGACGGTGAGGGGAGGAAGTGCTCCCCAACACACCCTCTCACCATCCAGCTGCCTCCCTACTCCTCCCTCTGTGGGCATCTGGGCAGTGCTCCTGCTCCGGAATGGTCCCCAATGACTGCAGAAGGGAAGCCATTCTGAGCGGATCCAGCCTCCCGGTGAGCGTGATCCCTGAGGGAGGCCAGTAAGAGCTCCAGCATTCCACATGGCCCACCTGAGTGGTAGGGCCGCCTTCCCCAGCGGTCCCAGGGCCCGAGACCAGAGCCACCCAGGGTCTGAGCCTAGCTCTTTCCTGTGGGTGAGGAAACAGGGGAGCCTGGAGATGAACATCACAGCAGTGCGGGCGGCCCTGGGCACTGGCCTGCTTCTCCTGAAACCCAAGTCCCTGGAAACATAAATGCCCACTCAGGTACTCGACCAGCACACAAGCACCATGCCCACCTCTAGTTTCCTCCCCATCTCTGCAATCCAGCGGGTCCCTGGTTGGTCCTGTTGACAGACCGCCAGAAAGATTCACATCCGTCTACTCTGTCCATCCCCATCGCCACTGGCTCTGGCCCCCACCCCCGCCTCGAGCTCCCGGAGGGCCCGCACCACGTGGCCATCTGTGTTTTCAGTAGCATGTAACAGGTTTCAAGCTTGATGAGTGTATGAAAGAATGAATGAGTGAAGGCATGAACACATGAACGAACGAATGTTGACCGGCTCCTCCCCTCCTGGTCTCATTGGGCCTGGTGGACACGACAGTGGTAGAGTCAGGCCAACGTGAGCCCCACCTCGGCTCTCAGAGGTCTGCTGTCCAATAATAAGCCCAGAGCCAAGTGCAGATCTTGCTGGAAGCTGCCACTGAGGCTCAGCCCCTCCTGAAACAATGGTCTGAGAATTTCAAAGCTGGCTGCAGCCTCTAAGCTCAAGCCTGCCCGCCTCATCAGAGCCCCGGACAGACTGAGGGCCCAATAGGCCAAGGTCTGGGTGAAGCTCATGGCAAGTCAGGGAGAGAGCCAGGACTGGAGCCCTGCACCCAGGAGCTATGATCCAGGGGCTCTGTTCTTATGTGCAGTCAGGGAGCCCACTGCACAGACCTGTTTTGGTGCAGAACATGCCCACACACGATCCGTAGCGAGAAAAGTCCACGCCCGCCTCACTGCCTTCTTATGGCCAAGTAACGCCCGAGCCCCACATCCTACGGCAGGCTGGAGATTGATGTGCAAGGCGGGCACAAACACCCTCGGGCAGCGTGCAACCTGCAGCCGGCCTGCGGACACAGCAGTCCGCTCCACACGCCGCTGTCGGGGGCCTCTGCAGTCCCCTCTCAGGCCTTCCTTGGCCCACCTCTGCTCCAGCAGCCCTTCCTGGTAGCCCCCGGGCACAGACTGGGGTCTCCAGTGCCGAGGGGCAGTCGGCCGCCCCTTCTCCCTTCTGCTCTACGGAGACATTCGGTACAAAGAGAAAGAGGTTTGGTGTCAGGATGCTTGGGTGTAAAGTGGGGTTCTACCACTGTCAGCTTAGAGACACCAGGAAAGCCATGTCACCTCTGTGGGCCTCAGTCTCTCATCTGCAAAACAGGGATAATATACCTGCCTTGTCAGACTGTGCTAAATATGTGCATTTTCGATCACAGGGTTAAAATTCTCTACCACAGTGGAGGGATCTTTATAATAAAAACTCCTACTGTGTGCCAGCCACCACTCCAGACTCTGAGATTATATTACCTTTGATCTTCATGGTAACACCATGAGATGGGCTTTATTATACTCATTCTGCAGATGAAAGCTAAGTCCCAGAGAGGAAGAATGGCTTCCTCAAGGCCGTGCAGGCAGACCTTCAACATGAACCCTGGCTTCTAGGGTCCCAGTCCCAAGCATTTCCTCCATACGTGGTGCCCTTGCTCTAGAATTCCAGAACTGTGGACGGTTTTGTGGGAAGGGTATCCGTTTATTTGGCACATCCCACAGAAGAGTGGTCTCCTTGGTGGCACTATTTGACCCCTTGTGGAGCTTGTTCAGTGGCAACTGGTGTGTGAATGTGTGTGACAATTCTGAGCCGGCCTGGGTGACATCTAGGGGCCCAGACGGAAGCCCTGCCTCTCCAGGAGGTGGCTGTGGCCAGTGTGCAAACCCAGACGTTCTGGAATGACTAGGCCACTGTCATGGGGAGGAGTGCCAGCCCAAAGGGAGGGAAGACCTGATTCTCATCTATCAGGCTCAAAGACAAGCTGATCCTGCAGGGCCCCCACAGATCTCGTGCAGGTTCTTGGATTTCTTGGGTTTCTTCTGCTCTATAAATAACTTAGAAAAATAGGTACTAGGTGGTGAGTTTTTATTAACTACATTTATTCAATTTACAGGCTTATCTAATATTCTGAAATTATCTCCTTTCTACCATGTTCGAAGTTAAACATCTTTTGTTTTAAAACAAACAAACAAACAAAAATGGTGATATAAGGCAAAGGGAGCTTTCAGAGCCCTTACTTGGCCAAAGTAAAAGCTGGTAACTATATCATTCCCCCTACCCACCCCGCTTTTCTTACGGTGGGACAGAATTGAGCACGCCTGAAACATGATGGAAAGAATGTCATAGGAGGGGTGAGGCTGCTCAGTGGGGAAATTACTAGCCCAGGCTTCAGAAAAGGCAGGAAGGGTGGGGGGACCAGAGCTCAAGTCGAGGGTCTGGCCGTGGGTAGAGAAGGGCACTTCCTCACCTGTAATGGAAGGAGGGAGAAGGCCGGCAGATGGGTGATTTGCTAATGGAAAAGTCACCTGGTGGCTTTCTAATCAGAACTCCTCTCTAGGGAGGGTAAAGTCATCTGCAGAAAAAGAGGAAGCAAGTGGAGGGTTCTTGGTTTAAAGAGAGACCATTTGGCCTAAATGCAAGCGAGACTGGCCATAAGAACTGGCATGGACAGGAAGTTAGGGAGGTCTCATCACATGGGCCAACTGTGATTGGTGGGTGGTGGCTGCCTGGAGCCTGGTGGTGTGAGGGATGATAAAACCACATCGGGGCTCAGCAGAGAAGAGGTCCTGATTGATTAGTGATGCTGCCGTGGCCCCGGAGGAGGGCACACGTCTGCCGCCTATCTGCTTTGACGGCTAGGAGCACAGACCCAGACCCCTGACTGGCGATGAGAGCCCATGAACCTCTGAGGGGCTCCAGTCACAGGCTGCAAGATTTTCTACAGCAACACTGAACAGCTAGGGTGTAAATGTAAATGCTGTCCCCTGGGCCTTCTCCTGATTTGATCCTAGCACCCACTGCTCACTGAGCATCCCACTGTGTGCGCGCTACCCCAGGGCAGGGCCCATAGCTTCTCAGAATCGCCAACGCCTAGGAGATGTTCTACAAAGGCATACTAGACCAAATCGCCCAGAATCAAGTTCATTCCACTTAGTCACACAGTATCTCCTAGGCCTCAGGCCCCAGAGGGATAGGGAGGTCTCAGTCCCAGGCACTAAAAGAAAATTACAGTTTTGTCCCTAGCTCCAGGGAACTGGGCCTCCTTGAGATGTGTTGATTTATCAGC